GAACATCTTTCTCATGGTGTATGTCATAATCACGAATTACGGTTGTCGTCCATTGTTCAATATATGTTGACAATAGTTGAAGATATATTCCTCCTATGTTTAAAAGAATATTAGGCATTTGAAAATGTGGTTATATCGGAAGCCTTTTCCCTTGTGTTGTGTATTGGTTGTTACTAAAAATAACATTTTGTGGTGATTTTTGGACAAAAAGCCGATTGAATAACTTTGTACATCATCAGGTTCTAGCTGATAGCTATGGGGTTGGAAATCACTTGATCCAACATTTGTGTTTACTAACCCTAATGTGGATAAGAGTTCTGAGGCTATAGATACATCATCCAATGTATCATCTTTTTCATCTAGGCACAAATTATCCAAAAATATATCTATGATATCATCCATTTCATCCATGATATCGTCCATTTTATCTTCATTTGTTTAGGACAAAGAATCTAAAGTTCCTTGTCTGTACATGGATATAATAGCCTGATGATGATTCCATTCCTCATCAGTTATGTCATCATCTTCATCTTCATTATATTCTATGATATTCATCATAGAAATGTTTTCATTATCAGGAATAACATAAGTGTTATGCCTATTTTCCACTGGCCTATCTTGTTTTAGGTCTAGTCGTGGTATATTTCTATAGTCTATGAAACTTAGACTAAGTCCTCTAGATCTGTTATGCAAGATAGCAGATGAAGGGATAGTAATGAGATTATTTTCTTCCTTTGGCAAGTGTGATTGCCACAAGTGTCCTTCATTTCTCCTTGTGAAGGCTTGGGCTGACAAAAATTGTGTACCATGAGAGTTAATAACTTCCTCTAATAGTCTTGTGTCTATCCTATACATGGAAGAAATATGGTTATTAATTCTTTTTATGAAGGTAATGTCTAAGTGTAGATTTTCGCCCATCCAATTGGGACCAAAACCTATTGTTTGTCCTTCTAGACTTATATGGTTAATGAAATCTGGAAGTGTCATTGTAAAATTTGGTGCAAGGTATATCAAAGAAAAAGGTTGATTTAAATCCACCTCTAAAATACCTATCACACTTTGTGAATCATTATTTTGAAATCTGGAATCATGCAGAACTATCAAAGTTCTAGCTCCGATCATATGCCTAGCTAAAGATCTAACTCCAATGGTAATCAATCCTATATGGACATATCTTCCTTGTCTGGAAGATGAAAATCTTCTATCCTTCTATATCGGTAAAGGCTAGTCCTTTCAGAACTTAACCAACCAATATTGTATAACTGTCTAAGATTTAAGGAATATATCCTTGACGTTAGTAGTTCTTTGTCTGTTTAAGAATCTATCTAAAATTCCTGAATGTTGTATTAGGTTTTGACTCCTAGTTTGATGTTCCCTTAATCTTCTGGGGATTCCGGGAAATCTTTGTGTTTGGTTAGAATCTTTGGTTAGAATCTGTTGTATTATTCATATCAACAATTTCTATTTGTGTTTATGTGGAGTTAATGGGTCATGTAAACATATTTAACTCTCAATTTTATTTGTAGAAGAATAAACTTCTTCTTTGTTGGTCTAGTTTTTAAGACCATTTGTAGTCACTTTAACAAATTTCTGTGTATTTTTAGAAATTGTTTTAGTGTATGTGTTGGTTCCTAAAGAAAATTTAGAAACTTGATTAATAAGATCATCTATCTCATTTGATTTATTTGTATTTTTGTTTAAATCAATTAAACATGTTAGCTTTCTAGAAACTTCTTCCAGAAATGCAATTATTGTATTGTTTTGTCCAATAAGGACTTTGTGTTGTCTACTTCTAAAGTAGGCTTTTTATATCCCACTAGAAGAAATTTTGTTATTTGTTCGACAGCTGCAAAAGTTGTTTTGTAGTCTTTGCCTAAAAAAGGTTGCGAGACTTTGTATACCTTCCATTAAAATTTTTAAAATAAAATAAAAATTTCTAAAAAAAGGCAGAAATCGGAAAGTGAGCAAGAAAATAAATCAACAAATAAACGGAGGAGAATAAGGAGATCTACATAATACACTCGTAAAACAATATTTACAAAAGAATATAGATAATCATAAGGGTTAAAAACAATATTTTTGTTGTTTTTAATTTGTGTTTTATATATATATATATATATATATATATATATATATATATATATATATATATATATATAAGTGATATACAAGAACATGAATAAACAAAAAATGAACAGATATACAAAAGAAAATAAAAGATGTACAAGAAAATATATTTCCAAAGACTGTCGCAATATGCAAAGTATTCCTCAACCTACACACGTAGCCTTAACATGCCATCCCTACAAAGAGTATCCTAGCAAATATAAATCAGTTCAATTACAAAAATATTCGAGTAATCGAGGATTTCTCACTCGATACCAAATGGAAGACAAAATAAAAAAAAATGAGATGAAAAATACTAATAAATAATTATAAAAAAATGAAAATAAATAATTCTTAAATGTTTCATATATCTTTTAAAAAATATAATATCTGGTTAAATAAATAAAATGTTGTTATCCTTAATTCAAATTATAAATTTTAAAAAATAAACTAAATTACATATTATATTATTAGAATCAAACATATAAATAATATATTTAAAAATAATTAGTTAATTAAAAATTTTAATAATTTATTTATCTAAATTTGTTTATTGTTCACATGTAATTTTTCTTTTTTTCATAAGTTTTTAACAACAAATAAATAAATAAAAAAGAAAAGATAATAACTATATTAAAAATTTATTTATCATTATTAAATTTCGAATAATACATTAATGTAATACTAGTTAAATAAATAAAGTTACAAAGATTTTATTGGAATAATTTTTATTTTTAAAATTTTTATTTAAAAAATAATTCGAGTTTGGCATTGTAAAAAAATTAGTCTATAAACTTTTTTATATAAATCAAATGATCTTTGAATTAACTACATAATTTCAAAGCAAATTTCTTATTTGACTAATGAAATAAATTTTAACTCGTTTTTTACATTATTTTTAACAATAAAATTATTAAAAAGTATATCAATATATTTATGTCTATTTAAATAAATTTACCATCTTCACAATTTAACTATGGTCAAATGAATCCACGGACTAGGGATATTATTGATTAGAATACAGATCTTAAAAGTTTTCTTCTCCCCCACGATTAAACATACCCAGTATTTTATACACACACACACACATATATATATATATTTCACAAGTTTTTTTCATACAACTAAAAAAAAGTCTTTCAACTCAGCAATATCAAATCACTTTTTTATTTATTTATAATTTATATATTTGAACTTCCTAATGATTTACTCCTTTCAAATTACTTTTTTCATCTTTTAACTCTATAATTAATTTCAATAATTTTTTAAAATTATTATCACTAACAATCATGTTATATCATAATTTAAATTATTTATTATAATTTCAAGATATATTTTATTTTTAAAGTTATGTATTTATTTTAAATTTCAATTATATAAATTATATACTTATTATTTAATTACTAGTTTAAATTGAATTAACTTTTTTATCCGCTTAACTATTTATTTATTATTATGTTAATGCATCTTATTATTTTTATTCCTTTAGACCATTTTAGTACGCTTAACTAGTTTAATAATATATATATATATATATATATATATATATATATATAATATTTTACCTAAATATTCTTAATTTTTATTTTACAATTTTATTTTTTATTTTTATTTTTAATGGTTAAAAAGTCAACAAATTATTTATTTTATATTATTATTACTCTATGTATGAAATGTTGGAAATAAAACTTTTTTCTTTAAATATTTATAATATCCAAAATTTTAAAAATTATTAAACTTTTATTTTGTTATATAAAAATTTATATTCTAAAATATTTAAAATTAATATATATCTATATATAAATTAAAATTTATTTATAAATATAAATTTATTTATTTGTATTGTAATTAGATCAATCATAAATTTAGAATTGAAGACAGTATGTTGTAGATTAATTTATGTATAAAGATGATAAATCAATGAATTAAAATATTATTATTATTTAAAAAATGATTATAAATCTTTTTAATTTTAATTTTTAATAATAATGACGTGATAAATAAAATTTTATATAATATTCAATATTTTATTTGTTAAATTTGATTAAATACTATTTTTTTTCATAAAGATAAATGTAATTTTTTAGTAGATAACATTTGTATATGTGAAAATTTTAATTAATTTTTTTATGTTAAAATATTATATTAAATATATATTAAATATTATATTATATTTTTTTAGTAGATAAATTATTTTTTTATTTGAAAATTATTTAATTATAATAATTAAATTATTTCTAAATTATCATGTAAAAAATAAATAAAAATATTTATAAATTTATTATCATAACAAAATTTATAAAAATTTAAAATTAGTTGAGTAAAAGTTATATGGTTCATTTAAAATAAAAATGAAAAATTGTTGATAATAAAGATTGAGATGTTCTTAGTATACTAAAAACAAAATTTTCTCCATAAAACTAATATAATCAATCATTTTAGAAGAAAACATTTGTAGAAATTCAAACATATTTAAGAAATGTTTTCAACAATAACGCTGCAAATATTATAATTTTAAACATTAACCTTTAATTTTAATGCTTTTTGAAAATTATTAATAATTAAAAAATAATTTATATAATAAATTATTATTATCATAAAACTAAAATGAAATTTAAGCATTAAAACAATTTAATCTATTAAAGTTTAATAATAATATAATTTATTATCTATTTTTGTAAGTATAAAAATAAATTGTATAAAAAAAGATATTTTCACTATCAACTGTGAAAAATAAATACTAGTTAAAAAGCTTTTCTTGTTGGCAAAGACACAGATCTGAAGTTAAAAACGACCAGAGAGATACAACACCAAAAAATACTTTCTTTTTCACAGGACGCCCTAGTTCATTCTCTTCTCCATTCTCTGAGTTCTCCACACTCCATTCAATCACCATGACGAAGCAACACGCCAATTGGTCTCCATACGATAACAACGGAGGGTAAGAGTACTCTCTCTCTCTCTCTCTCTGCCTCTCTCAGTCCGAAGAATTATTTTCAACTTTTCATTCGTTTATTTATTTTTTTGTTCACTTTGCCTAGATCATGCGTTGCAATTGCTGGAGCAGATTACTGTGTTATCGCTGCAGATACCAGGATGTCCACTGGTTACAACATCCTTACTCGCGATTACTCCAAAATCTCCCAATTGTATGGTTTACCCATCCAATTAATTCTCGCCCTAAATAATTACATTTTTTTTATTGTTTTGTTTTTGCTGAAATTCGATTGGGTTATTATGGCTAATTTGATTTACTTGATCTTAACATTGCATTATGTTGTTTAAGGATGTAAACTAAGGTTTCTATTGTTTTGCGACAGAGCGGACAAGTCTGTGATGGCTTCTTCTGGTTTTCAAGCTGATGTGAAAGCCTTGCAGAAGGTTTTGTCTGCCAGGCATTTGGTAAGTGAAATTTCTCAATGATTGAAACAACTGAATAGTGCTATTTAATGCTTGTGAATTTTTTTGGGGTTGCTTTGTAATTTACAAACTATATTCTATGCTTAGTCTCTTGGTATATGTTCTGTCTGCTAGTTTGTCTATGTTGATGTTGGATGAACAAAGAACTATGATTGGATCCAATTTAGTTTGTTTTCAACCTCCCCGTGATTATAATAACTCGTAATATTATCAAATGATAAACCTAGAGTAAACATTTAGGGCAAATACTCGTCTAACTTGGCTTGGCTGTGAAAGGTTCTCTGGTGAAATGAACAAAAAAATCAATATTATTATCTGTGCAATTAAGGTGTTATAGGTTGATAGTTTTAACGGTGTGCTGGATTGTTTTAATCATACTTGGTTTGTTTATTTGGGAGAAATAATAATCATTGATTTTTACCAGCTTTCTATTTGGTATTTTGAAAAATGTGATTATTTGGTAAAACTGAAGTTATCACAGACAAGCGCTAATAAAGCTTCCAGTTTATTTTATCAATGTATATCACCTGGATTAGTTGTATTTTTTGTTTTAGATGTTAGTTGTAAGCTGTAAACATCAATGAAGCTTCTACACAGAAAGCACCCCTACATGCCACAATCTAGTACTTGTAATAATTGCCAATAACCGAAAGCCATACTGTTAGCCATCACCAAATCGACCCATGACAAAATATTTAACCACTCTATTCGACATGCATTTGCATGCATCCTCAATGAAACAACAAACATAGAAATCCAATGCTGAATTTAGTAAATGTAAATTCAATATTTGAAGTACTTCTCAATTTTAGTCTGTTTGTATCCATATACTGTGCTAGTACATTTTAGTATAAATTTTTTTTATTAGATGCTAAGGTACCTAGCAGCTTACCATGTGAATTTTAGGGTCAACGGTATCATCTGATACTTTGAAGTTAGAGTTACATATGAACCATCTCATACTTTATCCTATATCTTCAATTCTGCCCAGTCACTATAGTCTTTCTCGATTGTCCTCTTTCTCGTTTCTATTAAATTCTGAAACTTTCCAAAGTTAGACACTGTTATGTTGTTAGCTACACGATATCAAAATTTCAAGGCATTTTAGTGGGCAATTATTTTCCAGCATATTGGTGTCTGAAGTTATTGAGCAGAAGGCACATATGTATGTATATTTGAAAGATTATTACAGTAATGACTTATAGATTTGTATAAAGTAACGACTTTAGAGTTGGATTTGTGTCCAAGGAAATGAAGGATCTTCATGAATTTGCATAAATAAATCACTAGCATCACAAGTCAGGGAATAGATACATAATGATTTTCTGCCATAGTAGTGACAACATTAAGAGGTTAATAGGGATGTGTACCATAAAGAATGGGTCTTTAATTTCCCTAAGTTTTATACCTTTACATTTTGCATTTATACCACACCCAACTAAGCAGGAGTCTGGGCTCTGGGCTACCCTTTTATGTTGTAAAACCGGGGAAATTGCTGCATTAGACTCTTAATTTGTTATGAACCTTCAGTCTCTCTCATATTTTAAGTTTAGCATGACAAAAAAATGGAAACCTTGGAGCTTATGTGATATCATCTATTGACTCTGAACGCAGATTTATCAGCATCAACACAACAAGCAAATGAGCTGCCCTGCAATGGCTCAGCTGCTTTCAAATACACTTTATTACAAACGCTTCTTTCCTTATTATGCATTCAATGTTTTGGGTGGCCTTGACAGTGAAGGTGTGCTATTTTTAGCCTTCAATTTTTGCTCACGTCTCAATTCTATAACTGCTAATTGCTGCTTCAACCTTAAACAGGAAAAGGATGTGTCTTCACATATGATGCTGTTGGTTCCTATGAGAGGGTTGGATATAGTTCTCAGGGTTCTGGATCCACACTTATTATGCCATTTCTTGATAACCAGCTGAAGTCTCCTAGTCCACTCCTGTTACCTGCCAAGGTGACGTTCTGAAATTGGTGCTTTGCTTGAAATATTTTATTCTTCAAGTTTTATCGACTGACACATACATTAAAAACATTATTTCTGTCAGGATGCTGTTACTCCACTGTCTGAAGCAGAAGCAGTTGATCTGGTCAAAACTGTTTTTGCATCTGCAACTGAGAGAGATATTTACACCGTAAGTTTGTGTGACATACATAATTACCATTTGACTGTAGGATGAAGTTGCAACTTAACGTAAATGTTTTCACAGGGAGACAAGGTTGAAATCGTCATCCTAAATGCCAGTGGTATTCGTCGTGAATACATGGACCTAAGGAAAGACTAATGCTCTACAGAATGTTTGAAATGCTTCTGGACATAGTGGGTTTTTCCCATGAGGTGAAATTAAGAATAGCATGTTCTGTGAAATTTATTTGAACAAGTACTAGTCTGTTCACATTATAACTAGACTGTGCTTTCACTTATATTTGCATTGGATTTTTGCCCAATTCTATTTCATAGCTTTGTCTTCTTCGCATGATTGCTTCGTGTTTTGCCTCGTACGTCCAATATCCTACCAATAGCTTTGAGGTGGCTAGTTTCGAATTCGATCTTGTTCGAGGAATTTTCTTACGCTGAACAATGGGATTGAACAACTTCAAATGAGCCTATAGTTTACCTTCAAAATACACCTATACTTTGCCTTCAAGTTGCTCCTATGCACCGACTTCGTAAAATGTTGAGGATATCAAATCACATGAAGAATGTATTTTGAAACAGAACACATTAAGATTTTTGAAATAAAGTGATTCAATGTAGATTGAACTCAGTGAAGGAGTAGAATGTGGAGCAATTAACGAAGTTTAAGAAGGCAACGTCTTCATTACTTTCTTTCCGCAAGATTTTTGAGTATATAATGATTTTTACAATTCTAATAAAGAAAAATTGCTGCCACAAGAGTAAAATGATTACAAAGTATATGAAATAATAGCTTCATACCGGTTAATTAATCTGATTATAGTTGCTGAGATGCTGATGTGATTCTGCGTTACTTCTTTTATCTTATCGCGTATTGAGACGCTCATCGATTCTTCTCCAACCCCTGTGGCAGTGCCTGTCAGCAACCAAAAGAAGTTTTCATCGCAAAATGTTAAAGGAAAAGATTTACATCCTCCGAAGTAGATACTGTATTGTACATCATGAAACATTCTTTATCTTTATCAATTAAAGAATGTCTATTTATTTCTTATCGAAGTACAGTTAACTGATTTTACCCTCAGTTAAAATCAGTGACTGATTTAGAATAAAGTTAATTCATTTGACGCAAATTTAGTGAATCACGTAAATTGAGAAGAAGGAAAAGGGAACTTTGCCCTGGAACCAGTAATTTCTTCATTCAGAAAGCATATAGCCTATCATTCGTTTCTTCTTCTTCTAATTGCACAAAAAGAAAAGGTTTAAATATAATTTTAGCACCTATAAAATTGACGAGTTTTAGTTTGATTTTTATGATTTTTGTCATCCTATATACGGTATTTTCAATATTAAAAAAAAATATAGTTTGCCAAACATTTTATAGAGGTCTTCGCAAAGCTAGCCATTTTTTTTAGTGTGTGCATCGATTTAAGATTTTGCGAGGTAAAAAGAAAAAAATTGTATAATAGAAAAAGGAATTATCATTAATTTCGAATCAATTAAAGTTATAAATTATTTTAATAAAACTAATGGTTAAAATATATTATTTAAATAAAATTTAAAAGTGTAATCAAAAGCCCGTCTAGCTCAGTTGGTAGAGCGCAAGGCTCTTAACCTTGTGGTCGTGGGTTCGAGCCCCACGGTGGGCGATTCGTTTTATTTTTTCCCAAACAGCTTAATTGTTTTTGTAAAAGCTAAGTCTAATTTGGTTTAAATAAAATATTTAATAATGTAGTTCTAAAATGGGGAGTAAAGTTTTCAGAATTTGAAAATATCAATTTTGACTCATTATCTTAACTATTAATGTTTTTGAGCTTCAGAACAAATTTTAAACCTGAAAGATGATTGAAAAAAATGTACCCATCAAACTTGATATGAATGAAGCATGTTAAGCATAGATTAAGTGGTTGAACATTTGACGTCCATTTGCATTTAGTTTTAATGTGAGGTTATTTTTCTATAATTAACGTTGTAATAAATAAATTTTAACATACCTATAAATATTTTTCAATTGTCATTTTAACTTATTTTTAATTATTAATATTTTTTCAAATATTATTGAACTTCAATTTAGAGATAAAAATAAAAGATGACATATTAAAATAAATAAATAGTTAAAAAAGATAAATATATAAATAAAAGACATTTTTTTAACTTAAAATAAATTTTTTAAAATAATCATCTGAGAAGTAGATATGATTTATTTATTGAGATAAAAAAAACTACATATTTTGCAGTAAATAAATTAGATAAATACATATAAAATTAGATAATTATTTTTCTATAATTAACGTTGTAATAAATAAATTTTAACATACCTATAAATATTTTTCAATTGTCATTTTAACTTATTTTTAATTATTAATATTTTTTCAAATATTATTGAACTTCAATTTAGAGATAAAAATAAAAGATGACATATTAAAATAAATAAATAGTTAAAAAAGATAAATATATAAATAAAAGACATTTTTTTAACTTAAAATAAATTTTTTAAAATAATCATCTGAGAAGTAGATAGGATTTATTTATTGAGATAAAAAAAAAACTACATATTTTGCAGTAAATAGATTAGATAAATACATATAAAAAAACACTCTAATTTTATTAAATAGACACTTATTTTTAAAAAAGTAATCACAAACAAACTCACCCAAAGATTAACAAAAAGATGAGGATATTTGAGAGGTTTTTTTCCCTAGTTAAAAGTGAAAAATGATAATGTCATTATAATGGGCTATATAAAAATTTCTAATCACTATAGCTTTATTTTTTGTTTCATATTTTAAAGAATCTATAAAAATATTATATTCATATTTTTTTTGTAAATTCTTGAATGTTCTATAATTTATTTCATTCTTCTGAAATATAAAACTATTATTTTTAGTCCTTATAGGTGTGTTTTAATTTTGGTCTCAATAAATAAATATTTATTTTAAGAATACTATTTTTTAAAAATATCACACATTAATATTATATATCACATACATTAATCAACATTATCTAAAACGACCACTTAATTTTCCACTAAATATATATAAAGTTAATGAATAACGCACAATAAGATAAAAACACTATTTATTTATTTTTAAAGGAAAATTAGAGAATTTTTTAAAAGACTAAACCCAAACAAAACCTGTACGTATACCTAATATTTAAGCGTATTTTTCAATTATTGATAAAAATATATTAAGTGAAAGGAAAAGATAAATCAACCGTCAACATCAACTATTACATGTCACTAAAGAATAAAAGAAAAATTAAAAAATAATAAATTACAACAAAAACACGACCGAACATTCGGTCATTAAAAGACCAAAATCGGTAATTAATTAAAATAGTGATCAAAATAGTGATTAATTTTAATGATCAAATCAGTGATCAATTTAGTAACAAAATTAGTAATCGAATCAGTGACCGATTTATTAGTCGGATCAGTAATTAAATTAGTGACCAATTTAGTGATTGATTCGATTCATAGAATCGATATCAGAATCAACAACCGATTCAATAATCAAATCAATGACCAAATTAATAATTAATTTTAAAATAAAATATCACTATATTTAGTCACTAAAGTTTTTCTTTTTTAATAAACCTGTTATTTTATATATATATATATATGGTACGAATAAATTACACCAAAATTAATTTAAATATTATTAAAATTAGACAATTCTCTACATAATAATTAGACTTTTATATATTAAAAATTCAAAATAAACATAAAAAATATATTAAAATAAAATTACATAAATACAACAAATATTTAATTTATATTTTAAAAGATTACAAATTTATCTTCTCCCTTATATTGTTTGGCCACAATAAAATTGATGATAAAATCAATTCTTCTTCTCCATCTTCATTATATCACGCTATTTTTTTTATATCCCCGAAAACTCAAATATGATTAGTACAACATTTAACAAAAAAGAATAAATAAATGCATATCTTAGTAAAACTATAAAAATTATTTTAATTATATATTAGGCTAACAATAACTAGTATCCAAGAGAGCATAACTTTGTTAAAATTACAATATTTTATAATTCTCTACTATTAATTATTTTCTTTTTAAAATTTACTTATTTCATTATTTCAGTTTTATATTAAAAGATATTAATTATATATATACTCAATTAATCAACATAATAAACTGTTTTTCTAACCTCGTTCTCTTAATCATATTCTATCTAAACTGTAAATTTATCTCATTATATATTAAGTAAATTAAGTGCATGTGAACAAGTGTCATTTTCACAACAATCTATTACTTCCTCTTTGTTTTCTCAAACATGCTTATCTCCTAAGTATGGTACATAACCCATTATCTTTAAATCCCTAGACAACTTATTATAATAGTAAAATACTTACATGCATATCTGTCTCGCAAGTTGCTCACACATTGCAACTTGAATTCATATCAAAACAGGTCATGCTAACACAATTGTGCTCAATCTCAATGTGAATACAACAAGATTCTTATTTTTTTGTCAAGATTGATTTTAGTTTTGGTTCTCATGGTTAACTTCAACCCTTTACATGGAACACTATGCTAGAATGAAGGACAAAATTAACCGATTATAAAAATAAGAGAAACAAAAATAATTATTTATAAAGTATAGAACTAAAACTAATACTAACCAAAATCTAAAGGACCTAAAACACAATTTATTCTTTCAAAAATATCACCTGAAAAATCACCAATCTATTTCATAAGCACTAAAGGAAAGCATCTTCCTTTCAAAAAGGACTGATAAACTAGAGATTGAAGAAAGCAAGAACGAAGGGGCATACTAGATATTTGAAACTCACCAAATTCAGAACACCCAAGGGTTCTTTCAGAGTGAAATTTAGCTCTTCATTCTAAATAGGATTCAAGCCGCTATTAATTACCTTGGTCTTTGCAGTCTAGTACAAGCATTTCGAGGTTAAATAAGTTGCACAAAGTTAATGTCAAGAAAAAAAAGCTAAAAATGAAATTGACATGTCAATCCTATTTACCTGGTTCCCTAGTTTGAGTACAACATAAGGATCATTGGTCTTGAAATCCCGGATCACCAACCTTTTCCTTTGCACAACAATGATTTTTAGCACCCCCAGTTATTCATTCATTTTATTATACTCCTACAAACAAGTTAAATCATTAATTAAAAAGCTCCATACCACAATATTATCCACCATTCATGTAGGAGACAAACACACGAAAAACAAAGTAAGGAAGACAAGTGCTTGAGATAAGGTGGAAAACACTTTCTTTTACAAAAAATTGCAAAACCCCAAGACAAAAAATCAAAACATGAAGCCTCATTTTTCTTTTAACTCAAATATATATATATATATATATATATATATATATATATATATATATATAAGAAAAGTTTTTAAAAAAATGGAAGTCTCATTTTTCTTTTTCCTATCTTTTACTAAGATTAGTGTAGTAAAATTACTAGGAAAAGAAATTCATTGTAAGCATAATGAGAAATGAACAAAAAAGGATAATAGAATAAACCAAGCTGGAGAAGAGAGCTTGCACTGGACAACAAAATACTAGTTTATCTTTGTTTTTGTATGCAAGTATATATAACCAGGCCAGAACTGCCCAAATTCCATCTTTCTCATGAATATGATCAGAACCTACCCACAAACACAAGGAGTAATCACAAGATAAAACTGGGTTTTAGAAAAGTTCAAAGTTTAAATTTGCTCTTGATAATGCATGCCAAAAACATACTAGTCCCAAAACTTTCTTCACCACATATTGAACATAATCTAGCATCCATTAAATTACCAAAAAACTTCCAACCTATGGGGACCTGGTTTTAAATAACAAATAAATTAAATAAGTAGATGCCTAAAAGCCACCGCAGAGTATTTTCATATCTAAGGCATCGAAGAGCAGTGTACCTAAAAAAATTTCAAAACTAAACCATTAGAACCATTAACCACCATTCGATAGACCCATTCGACATACTGTTCGACAAAATGCCACAACGAAAAACGAGGTTAGTGGGAACAATTCGTGAACTTGAAGTAGGTGCGGGCATCGTTGCGGGAGAGGTGGGAGAAGGAAGGCGCCGAGGTGAATAGAGGACGACCATTAGGCCCGACATCAAGTGAAGGGTTCTTGTCATTGACGACGAGTTGTCGGATACGTTCTTGTTCATCTTAGAGTGGGGCGACAACGGCAGAGGAGGTGGGGTTTTTGGGATCGGTTGAGATTAGTTTCATTCTGTTTTATTTATTTATTAATAAATTCCTAAATTGTAGAGATATCAGTTAGAGTGACTTAGTCCGCCCATGTTTTAAAGTCTGTTAGTCGTGGACTGTTTTCTTCCTGTTGTATTAGCATTAGCGTAGTATCCTACAAAGCTAGTATCAGAGCTTCGAAAAAGGCCTAATAAGAGTGAGAGAACAAAACACCCGAGAGTGAGAAGCCATGACAGCTGAAACTAACAATTTCGTACAGGCTTCCATCCCAAAATTTGATGGAGATTATGATCATTGGAGTCTCCTCATGGAGAATCTCCTCAAATCCAAGGAGTATTGGAATGTGGTGGAGACAGGCAACGAAGAGCCGCCTGAAGACCAAACCATACCAGTAGTTCAAAAGAAGGCGTTCGAAGAAATGAAATTGAAGGATTTAAAGGCCAAAAACTATCTTTTTCAAGCCATTGACAAATCGATTCTGAAAACTATCACTCCAAAAGAGACTTCCAAACAGTTGTGGGACTCAATGAAGGTTAAATATCAAGGCAATTCTAGGGTGCAAAGAGCTCAACTCCAGCGTCTTCAAAGAACCTTTAAGCTCCTCGAGATGAAGATGGGAGAAACGGTCACTGAATACATCTCACGAGTCATGATAGTGGCCATTGATATGCAGAATTACGGAGAAGACATGACTGATGCTAAGATTATGGAGAAAATCTTACGCACACTTACAGAGAATTTTGACTATATTGTGTGTTCCATTGAGGAAGCCACAAATATAGACAAACTTACTGTTGATGTACTTCAAAGTTTCCTGTTTGTTCATGAATAGAAGTTATTAAGGCGACAAAAGGGAGATGATTAAGTCCTGAAAATTTCATATGAGGAGAAACCTAGTGGAAGAGGACGTGGTCGTGGGTCAGGAAGAGGTAGTAGCGGTGCAAGAGGACAAGGTCGAGGTAGAGCATTTAATAAAGCAACTATTGAGTGCTTCAAATGTCATCAATTGGGACATTTTCAGTATGAATGTCCTAAATGGGAGAAGGTAGCAACAAACTATACAGAACTGGAAGAAGAAGAGGAGCTAGTATTGATGGCGTATGAGCAAGAAATTAATGCAAAGGCGGAGGACGTTTGGTTTCTCGATAGTGGTTGTAGCAACCACATGACTGAAAACCAAAAATGGTTTCACACAATAGATGAAGGTTTTTCATATTTAGTAAAATTGGGAAATGGCACAAGAATGGCGGTGCAAGGTAAAGGGGACATCAAACTAGAGATATAAGGAAAAACACAAGTAATAAGTGATGTACTCTATATTCCTAAGTTACACACAAATTTACTAAGTGTTGGTCAATTGCAAGAGAGAGGTGTATCTATTCTAATTCAAAATGGAGAATGTAGAGTTTATCATCAAAGGAAAGGTCTCATTATATCTACCTCTATGTCTGCAAATAGAATGTTCTATGTTGTAGCTTGTAGCTTCCACTATAGTATCAAATATTTTGTTTGTAAATTCACAAGAACTTGCTCAACTGTGGCACCGAAGGTATGACCACTTAAGTTTTAAGGGATTGAGAACCTTACAATTTGAGAAAATGGTAAAAGGGTTGCCTCAATTTCAGTCCCCGACAGATGTCTGCACTAATTGCCTAGAAGGAAAGCAAACTCGAGAATCAATATAAAAAAGAGTAGTTAGAGAGCCTCACAACATCTTAATTTGGTGCATGCAGATTTGTGCGGACCAATTTCACCTATCTCCACCTCTAGAAAACGATACATTCTTAGCTTTATTGATGATTTCAGCCGCAAGATGTGGACTTATTTTTTGAATAATAAGTCAGAAACTTTTGCAGTATTCAAAGGCTTCAAAAAACTTGTGGAGAATGAAACCAATTTGTCCGTATGTTTCCTCCGTACAGATCGTGGTGGAGAGTTCACCTTGCTTGAATTCAATAAGTTTTGCACAAGGGAGGGAATTAAAAGACAACTCACTACAACATATAAATCCCAACAGAATGGGGTTGCAGAACGACGTAACAGGATAGTAATGAACATGGTGAGGAGCATTCTTTCAGACTAAAATATTCCAAAACATTTTTGGCCAGAGGCAGCAAACTGGTCTAGGCATATACTGAATATGAGTCCTACTGTTGCTGTTCCAGAAGTCACACTAGAAGAAAAATGGAGTGGAATTAAGCCTACAGTCAATCACTTCAAAAATTTTTGCTGCATCAGACATGTTCACATTCTAGATGCTCAATGAGTTAAGCTTGATGCTAAGAGTCAAAAGTGTGTGCTTTTTGGTGTAAGTGATGAATCAAAGGCGTATCGCATGTATAATCCCTTCACCAAAAAAATTGTAATCAACAAGGATGTGATTTTTGAAGAAGCAAGCTGGAATTGGGAAAAACATACTGAAAAAGCTCAAATCAATATGCTTGAACAAGATGAAGAAGGCAGCGAACAAGATGATAAAACTGCACCCAAGGGAAGCAACGAATGGGTCTCAGTGGATGATGAAAGATCAAGCAGTACACCTCCATCCATCAAAATTGAAGAACAAGAACACATTCTGAGTAGAGCATGACACAAATTGCCTCCTGCTTGGATGCGGAGTGGGGATTATGTCAGTGGAGATAATCATTCAGACTTAGAGGATGAATTAAGAAACATGGCAGTGTTTATGACCAATGAGGATCCAGTTAACTTCAATGAAGCTATGAAACACTCCAAATGGAGGAAAGCAATGCAAGCAGAGATTGATGCAATAGAAAGAAATCAAACATGGGAGCTCGTCAACCTATCTATAGGAATGAAGAAAGAAGATTGGGGTGAAATAGGTGTTCAAAACCAAACGGAATGAGAAAGGAGAGGTAGATAAGTGTAAGGCACGACTAGTTGCTAAAGGGTATGCACAAAAATTTGGTATTGACTATAATAAAGTATATGCACCTGTTGCAAAGTGGGATACTATTCGAAGCATCATTGCCCTCGCAGCTCATAAGAGTTGGTGTATCTATCAACTTGATGTGAAAAGTGCATTTTTACATGAAGAATTGAATGAAACAGTATATGTAGAGCAACCACTTGGTTTTGTGAAATTAAGGGAGGAGGAGAAGGTCTATAAACTCAAGAAAGCACTTTATGGGCTTAAGCAAGCTCCAAGGACATGGTATAGCAAGATAGAAGGTTACTTTCTCAACGAAGGATTCGAAAAATGTGACTTCGAACATGCTCTATTTCTAAAAAATGAAGGAGGTAAGGTGTTAATTGTTAGTTTATATGTGGATATGTGGATTATCTTGTTTTTACTGGAAATTGTGAAAGGATGATGACTAAATTTAAGGAATCAATGAAGTGTGAGTTTGATATGAATGATCTTGGAACCTTAAAATACTTTCTAAGGGTTGAGGTTCTGCAATGCAATGAAGGAATTTATATTTCTCAAAGAAAGTTTACTGGAGAAATTCTCGAAAGATTCAAAAAGGGAAGTTGTAATTTTGTGAACAATCCAATTGTTCCAGGAGTTAAACCAACCAAGGATAAGGATGGTATAAGAGTTAATGAAACAAAATACAAACAAATGGTTGGTTGTCTGATGTATTTAACAGTCACTAGACCTGATCTAATGTATGTAGTATGTTTAGCTAGCAGATTCATGGTTGATCCCACAGAACTTCATATGCAAATCATAAAGAGGGTATTGCGCTATGTGAAAGGAACACAAGAATTTGAGATTCTCTATAAACGGAGAGGTAATGCAGAGCTGCTAGCCTATATAGATAGTGATTATGCAGGTGACTTAGAGGATCGTAAAAGTACGTCAAGTTACGTATTTTTGTTAAGTGGTGGAGCTATAGCTTGGAGTTCAAAGAAGCAACCTGTGGTCACTCTATCAACCATAGAAGCAAAATATATAACTGCAGCTTATTGCGCAACTCAAGGCATATAGTTAAACCAAATTCTTAATAAGCTTGGTCAACCTGAAGATACAAGTGTTACAATCTATTGTGATAACAGTTCTACTATCAAGCTTTCTCAAAATCCTGTATTTCATGGGCGAAGCAAACATATTGAAGTTAGACTTTATTTCTTATGTAATCTCAATAATGAAGGCAAGATCAAATTAACATACTGCAATTCAGTCAATCAAGTGGTTGACATAATGACTAAACCGCTCAAACTAGAAGCTTTGTGAAATTGAGAGAGCTATTAGGAGTTTGCAAAGTTCCTAATTTAAATTGATAATGATATAATCAGGTTTAGGGGAGGATATGTTGAGATTAGTTTCATTCTGTTTTATATATTTATTAATAAATTCCTAAATTGTAGAGATATCAGTTAGAGTGACTTAGTCCACCCACGTTAAGGTATGTTAGTCGTGGACTGTTTTCTTCCCATTGTAAAAGACTTATATAAAGTCTCAACCTATCAATAAAATATTGCACTATTCTTCTGCAAATCAGTGAGCATTAGCATAGTATCCTATCGTTTGAAGGGTGTTATGGGCTTTGGGGTCCTAGAAGAGTGGCTAAGAGACGAGAAAGGAGCATGCTTGTGATGCCATGAATGATGGGTCACTGCGGTTCTTGCCAAGGACTGTAACATTTCCTCTGCTCTTTTGTGTTTCTATAAGTGAATCACAGAAAAGTGCAGAGATGTGAGATTTTTGTTTTGGGTTTTGGGTTTTGAGAGACAAGACATGAGAACCGAGATTGGAAGAGGGGTGACAGTGAGGGAGAAGATGCGGGTATGGGTAGAGGTTGCGGGTTGCGGTGGTTGGACTCGGTTGAGGAGGAGAAACAGAGTGAGTGAGGGCATGGTGAAGGAGAGAGTTGCGTGGGTGAAGAGGAAACAAGAGGTCCGGGAGACTATGGAGAAAATTAGGGTAAAACGTAATAGATTGTTTGTTTGTTTTTTTTCATTTTAATAATATTTTTTTATTTTTTACTTATTATTTTGAAAAAGTAAATTTTTATAGTTTTTTTAATTAAAAAAAAAGCAAAATATTAAGAAGAAAAAGGAAATTTTTCGATTTATCTTTTAAATATTTTTTTTATTATTTTTTCATATTTCCAAATATTAGTTT